AATCGAACCGCAAACCCTGTGACTCACAAGCAGGAGACGTATCCACTGGACCAGGAAATCTCGATTCAAACTATTTTTAGCTTTAGTAGAATAGAATAGAATTTATTAACTCTTACGAGCCCCTTCTGGGAAAGAGAGAGAGAGTACAACGCATTACATGTCATGATAATGATACATAATAAAGAATACACACATAGCATAATAATACAAAGAATGCACAATACAATGTATAACGATGAATAGGAATGATCTAAACCTAGTTTCAATGTTTCCAATATCTATTGGATGCTTTTTGTCAATTTTAATTTCATTCAGTTAATGCTATCTAACTAAGATATGAATGTAGGGGTTTTAAAGGGCATCCTTTCATTCTCAGAGCGAAAAAAAAAAACGGACTTAAACATATGAAATGTGTCCCTTTAATGGTTATATCTGTATTAAATATTGCTTATGCTAAGATATTTCGATGTTCTGCTCATGACCTCCCGTAAATGTAAGTGCAAATATTTGAAACACTTTACTCATCGCTATTCAAGTAATACGTGAAGGTGAGTTTTTAAGTCCTTAAAATCTTTAGTCCTAAAGGAGAAATAAATGCTTCTCGTAGAGTGTCATTGTATTAAATGATGCATGAACCCAATGTTTTGTTGATCCGCTCACGATCTCAGATGAATTTTAGTACAAACATCGGAAAGCAAAATGATTTCCCTATAGAGTTACTGTGAATATGTTACGGAATTTCGAAGAGATACATACGCACAAAGCTATCTACACACCCCTATCAAACCAAGGAGTTACAAAGCGAGCTGGCTTAGAACTTCGTGTTTAAAAGTGAAAAAGTCTATAAACTAGACAATAGATTGTACCATCCAAACTCTTTTTGCTCTGCGATAATTTCCTAAACTAAATGAATTCATAACTTCAACCCTGGACTCAACATTATACGTTATCCTAACCGTAATCGTAACCCTAGCCTAAGACCAAACGCAACCATAATCCCAAACCCTCTAATTTGGACAAAATAATCACAGAGCACTACTAGAGCACTACAGTTGAATAACTTGCACATGAATAATTCGACACCACTGCTGTATTTGGAAATAAAATAATTTGAAAACACTTTTACGGATTATATTCCTTCTGCAAATAACATGGAGAGTTGCAAAAGTATTTTCCTCCATAAAGGAGCACACACCTAGCCATTTTCACACTAATTACTAAGATGAAATTACGTTCATTCAGACGTGTACCCCCACCAATAAAATTACCTGAATGGCTTTTGCCAATTGAGTAATTCCGGAGGCGTCTTTTCTTGCCGTTGCCCCGCTGTTACATTTTACGCTGTGTGACAGCGTATCAAACTCTTGAAAGGTTTGAAGTCTCAGAGGAAATATAGTGCGTTGTTTATAGCCGTCCGTTGGGGGTTCACACATAGCTCCGACACCTGCACCTTGCTGCAACGTCTGCGAGGCCGGTCACACCGGACCAATAATACGGGAGTATAGTCAGTAGTCACATTGTACTTATAAATGCGGGACCGGTCACATGGCACCAGTCTCTCTTTTAGGGAACCAGTCACATAGCATTAATCACTGTTTTACAGGACCGGTCACATAGCACCAATTTATGTCAAGGATAACTATAAATCAGTCTATGCAAAACAATACATTATTAAGCTGTTCTTGTAAAACTGATTTTACATTAAATAAAGATTTTTCCTTCCATTTTTGTATTTGCTGTAGACGAAAGACGGTGTTCAGTGCTAATTATTTGATTAAAACTATCTACTACCCTGTGAAACCAGAAGAGAGATAATTTCCATCTGAGTTTCATTTTCTCCACAATGTCCGTTCTGACATGATGATACTGGTACCGTACATGATGATACTGGTACCGTAGTTTACACAGGATTTAAGAATTTGACAGACGAAACATCTTTTGACCAAATACTACAGAAACATTAATGGTACCACGTATTGTCCTATTACGATGATAATGTCAATATTAACAGAGCGCACATCTCTAGAGAAACAGGTGTTTCAAATAAAATTTAAATTTAAAATATCCAATGGAAAACAACATAAATATAAGAAAACAATGAATTTTCTATGAGTTATCTTTCCTCCTCTACCCTTCCCCACCCCATCACCATACCGCACTCACCCGCCTCTCTGCCCCCACCACAATATGTCATAACAATTTTAGAAGGGGTCGACACCCCTATTACTACTTTCTAGCGACAGTGCATTTAGGTAAGAGCCCTTTATATAAACAGTACAATGATATATAAACCAGGCTAAGTTATACATTTTCGTACGTATTTGCTCATTAAAGTTGGCATGTTTGTGCTTTTGATGATACATAAAGGGGTAACTAAGTGGTGATTTGTATGAAGATCATGCAACATTTCAATATACTGTACCTATTAGGGGCTCTTTCAAGGGGGAGCAAAGTTTATTCGTCATTTTGAGTGACCTCACATCGATGTCAGTACCATTAACCGTGTCAATGTTTCTATCAAAATGTCGTTCACCTAGCCAAAGGAAGGAAATAATCGGTATTCCTTGTGGTCCTATAAACTATAATATCGAGAGCCTCCAGAATAATAATCAGGATTTGGGAAGCATTTGATAACATGTTGTGCATCTTAATAACATTACGAGTTAGCGAAAGTATAATGTTTGCGTCGTTAACAATTTTGGGAGCATAGGCAATATGCCCTACTGTAGAACAGGCCCCGTCTTATAAAGAGTGAAGAAGATGAAGAAGAAGGAGAAGAAGAAGAAGATGATGAAGAAGAAGAAGAAGAAGAAGAAGAAGAAGAAGAAGAAGAAGAAGAAGAAGAAGAAGAAGAAGAAGAGAAGAAGAAGAAGAAGAAGAAGAAGAAGAAGAAGAAGAAGAAGAAGAGGAGGAAAAAGAAGAAGAAGAAGAGGAAGAAGAAGAAGAAGAAGAGGAAGAAGAAGAAGAAGTGGAAGAAGGTGGAGAAGAAGAAGAAGAAGAAGAAGAAGAAGAAGAAGAAACAGCCGCAGAAAACAGGTGCCATCAAAAAGTCCAAGACAGTTAGTTATTTCCATTCATTTGTATTCTATTTCTTATATCATATTAAAATCATGATATCTTCCTTCATGGTAAAAAACAGAAAGAGAAAATTCACACATTTTCTTGACCTGAATTTAACCTTTCTTTTCAAGTTTGATGGGCCTCTTTTGTAAATAATTTGTCCGTTGTCAACAACCTTTAACACGCTCCAGCGAGTTAGCAAGCATCGGAGCGAAATTCCTATACTTAAACATGTAAATCTCCATGGTTTTCCCACTTCATGGTTATTCTCTCTATCTCTTTTTAAAAATATTATTTTGGTCTCTCTTTCCTCAATCACCTCTTATTCCTATCCACTTTTTCTCAGTACATCTATCTTTTCTGTATAACTTCAATAGACCTTTCTTAAAATGTTAATGCTGTATTCATATTTATTTGCTTTTCAGGAGATGTTTTTTTTTCCTTTCCCGTCCTCCCCTCCTCCTCTCTCTCTGTTCTCTTTCCCTCTTTCTCCTTATCCCTCTCTTCTCTCTATCTCTCTCTTTTCCTGTTTGTACATTACTCTGAACTATCTTTCTCCATCGTCCCTCTTTCAAGTCTGTCTACTGCTATATCCAGATCATTTATTTCTAAGGGAAGGGTTTAAGAAGAAAATGTCAGATGCATTTATTTCAGAAAGGCCCTCGGCTATTTCTGTTACATTTGTAATTGGCTGTCTCATTTCTAGGGATAAGAATCCAGAAAAAATACACATGTGGTATATCTGGAGGGCAAATATATAATTACCTACATTCGTATCATTGCATTATCTCTAAATATATACAGCATTACAGATGAATATACAATGAAATGGGGATCCCATTTAACACTACAAATTATTTGAAATCGTTTCCTTTCGTCGGTGAAAAGTCAAGATTCTTGACTCAATATAATTGAGAAGATTCTAGGCGAGCCTAGAATATCCTTGGTAAAATACAGCCTGAGGAAATATCCAGCCCAATAAATTTAAGACAGAAGGAAACTTGATCGCTCTTCATCCATTCAAAAACGTTCTTTACCATTATTTTATGTGATATGTGTGAAGACAACATTGTGCACTATAAAAAGGTTGTCGTATTGAATGAGGTGGCGTTTAACTGTATACAAATGACTGATGAAAAGCAGGAAGAAAAAATGAATCCAAAAATGATATGCGGAGGGAGATTATATTTTGGAGTGGTAATATTGGTAAGAAATTCCTCTGAAATTTTTGGTATGATATCATGACACCTTTGGATTTATGATTATTTGTATCGCAGATAAATCAATATCTTATTTCTCCTGCCCATATTTTATGCTAATAATGTTTTCATAAATAAGTATATTTAATTTCATTTCATTTGTTTATTGTGTCCATATAGGATAATTGTTTATATGCCCATGAACAATCTTGCTTCAACATATGAACATAGGAACAACATATAATTGACATTCATAGGGCCCTGTTTTAGTATACATTTGATATAATATACATGGTCATGATGAATATACAAACATATACATTTAAATACTCTTTCTTCTTCTTCTTCTTCTCTCTTTCTTCTTACATACCCTCCATTTTTTAAAAATTCTTATATGCTCTAATCTGAAGTAGGTATTTTGTGTTAATAATTATTTCTTGATATGGTATAACTCAATTTCTTTCTTTCTACGAACGGACGGATTGCCAACCCCTTCCTGTTTTTACAGGTTTGACGACACATGTTCTCGCAATAAATGATCCGCCATCAAACGCTATACAAATCAAAGATTTTTTTAAACTAACTAACCTACATGTTATATATTCTAACCCCTATCCCTATTTCTGTGATGAAATATCCTTATAGCAAAGGACAATTAAACACACAATTCGGTCTCTTATATGCAGATTTTTTGTTTTTAAATTAAAACATTGATTTTATGCTTTGTTTCATCCATTACAGATGAGTGTCTCGGCATCGTCACAAGATAATATCATTCGTCAGATAATGACAGCAAAACTGGAAGCAAAAAACAGCTGTACGTGGAAAATGGCAAGAGACCCGCCAACCGAAGGTAAGCTATAAAAAGATTTAAAAACAAAAGGGAATTAGGGGCAGAGAGAGAGAAAAGGGGAAGGTGGGGGGGGGGGGGTGGAGAGAGAGAGAGAGAGAGAGAGAGAGAGAGAGGGGGAGAGAGGGGCGGAGCGATTGCACAGGAAAATATTGCGTTGAACTATTGGTGTATTATTCATTAAAATTCACGTGTTTGCCCGCCTGGTGCGTCATAGACTGTGCCCGTCACTGACGCAGCCTTACGCCAATCAAATATTGTCTTCTAATGCTCTATTTGCGCTGCTGAAGACGCAATCGAAATGACGCCTCGTGTGCACCAGGCATCAGTCAGGTCACCCTAGACACAACACGAATACATTTCATTTGTTCAGGTTGTGAGTCGATGGCGCGCCAGAGATAGATGGGGAGGGGGGGGGGGGGGGAGAGAGAGAGAGAGTCAGGTCACTCTAGACACAACACGAATACATCCCTTTTGTTCAGGTTGTGAGTCGATGGTGCGCCAGAGATAGAGGGGGAGAGGGGGAGAGAGACAGAGAGAGAGAGAGAGACATATATATATAGAGAGAGAGAGAGCATCCAGACTCTCGATTCCAATGACCCTGCGTCAAAACCAGGCGATGGGGCTGATACATCGAACGTGTCGAATTCTGTCTGCCCTCGCAGACAATCATTGCATTCGACCCAATTTAATTTCGTTTCCAGACTCAGAATCTTACCCATCATCCCTCTCAATTGTCAAAGCAATTCAAACACTGTCGGAAAGACTTTGAAGACACCATCTCAAGAACACCTCCACTACACTATTGAACTGCCTATAAATACCACTATTGAATAATGTATAAGTCATTGTAATCATCCTGGTATTGTTCAGACCTTTCGAAAGCTTAAGCACAAGGCTACAGAAATTGCCAGTGGTTGATTTTGTAACGTCTTTGCGATCAGGATTTCCAGCTAAAGGTTTAGTAGTTTCATGGCACCACGACTATTATTATCGATTGGAATCCATTTGTAATTAGTAGAATAATACGAAACAAGGGCATTACCAAGGGAATGATATATTCTATTCGCCCAGGGAAGAGGAAATTGTCTTGCCCAGGGAGAAGGGGGTCTATTGCCTTGCCCATCAGCTGGTAATGGCTTTATCCTCATCCGATTCGTGTCCTGTTACAACTAATTTACAAAACCTTTGAAATGTCTTTTTCAAATTGGGTTCATGCCAACCATTATTGAGCAACGAGATCTTAGGCCAGGTAAAAACCGCTCTTAGTTTCTCTTTTGTGGACGAGAAACTACAATTCACTTTAAATACCTGGTTCTATCTAGCAAAAGGATAACTCCTGCTTGCTATATAAAACAGCTCGCCGTTTATTGACTTGATTCTTGCTTAAAATGTTCACTGTAAGTAAGTTTATATAAGGAAGTAATATTGATCCGCTTATCACATAATATCCCCATTAAAGGAGACGCGATGACTCTTATATTGGAATTTAATCAAATTTTCTTTCCTTTCTCTCATCCTTATTACTGCTTTGTTCAGGTAATCTTAAACCACCCACCTCAACAAAACATTCCGACAAGCAAAATAATGTCGATATTAAACAAGAAATCATTTCAGTCTTATCCCTGTCCCCCAAGTATTCGCAGATAATAATCGACAAGCAACCAGACTAAGAAAATGAAACAAAACGTCTTTTCAGCCCCAACTTTCCCTTTGTACAAACGGCATCAACAAAATAATCATGAAAAAAAATTACAATTATTTACAGACATGCAGGTAAATAAGTAGAACAAAATTTTACTCGAGAAAAAGAGCAAGAAAACTGTATTTAAAAGGGTAAATGTAAATATTTTGTGTTTTTGTTCCTTGTGTGCCTGGGCGAATCCCTTCAGATTGATATTGTTGATGAAAATATCTTTCTTCCATCTAAAAATCTCTACGCACTTTCTCTCTATTACTTCTAACCGTCTCTTCTAAATTCTGCCTTTGTCTGTTCTGATTGAGTTTCAAATTCCCAGGATTCAGGATCAACATAACTGTTCTACTATTGAAGAAGTAGGGTAAACGTTTAAATCATATTTTCGAAATTGATATATTTGTGTCCCCTTTTCTTAAAGCTATCGTATCGTGTTATCGAAAGTGCTGTAAACCGCAGCGTTTTGTTGTCAAATGATCAGCCACCTGAGCCTGATCGAGTGGGCAAACGGGTTTGTCTGTATACATAACTACACAGGTTTGACCTGTTTTTCCGTTACTTAAAATGTCAGGGCAATGTGTGACGAATCCATGCCACGTCCCCAGACGCAGCGGGCCCATGACATAGGGTTCATACTTTACCCTCCGAGTGCCAATCTTTTCCAAAACTCTGGTGCTTTCGAACCACAGTACCAGTTGCACACGCGGTGTCATTTTAATTGCGTTATTATTTACGCTAATCAAGTTTATGGTGAACATTTATTGTAAACTTGAAATTCAGAATTTCATGCAAGTCAGCTATTTTGTATTTACTTCTTTTGGAAATTGACGCCCTCACGTGGCGCGTCAAATACAGCGCCAATCGCTGACGCATTCATTCATCAGGCGCTGACGCATTCCTACGTCAGTGAAATTACACTTCGCGCTTGAAGGCATCAAGGCTCAGCAGGAAACACAACGAGTATTGTCGACGTTTAGAATTCCCGTGAATCAGTATTGGTTATTTCAAGTAGAACAGGTAAAAATTAACGTTCCGAGTTGTTTCTCGAATATTTAAGGATGTTTGCCAAGCTCGTTTAGTGTCACACAAAGCACCCAGCTCCTGAACGCTGGAACGTGTGAAGGGGCATTCGTCTTTTCTGAGCAAGACATCTGTTTGTACTTTATGTTCCTTTTCGCCTAATCAACTGTTTTAGGTTTGCAATTAAGATTTTAACCCACTGAAGATAAATTCTGTTTCTCAAATCACACGAGCTTTCCATTCGGTTTACTACGCCGCAATAAAGGGTGGAAACGCAGAGCTTACGTATTAGGAGGAAAATCGTCACAAACAGAATGACTCGGAGAACACTAATTTCTCGGAACGCTACTAATAACTATGATAATATTATACGCTTTGAAACTGAGTTTAAGCGGCAATTATACAACGTCGCGAAGCAAATTGTAAAGCGCTTTCCAACTGCAAAGAAGAGACGCTATGCCAAATGCTCTTTGAATAGGACTGGATTGAATTGAATCAAATTTGAACTAAAGGTTGCCAAGGGCTTTTAGTTTTCTGTTGCCAAACTCCTACCCTCTTTCCCTTTTCCTTCTAATTCTCGATGACCATACAGTCTGACTAGGTACAGTATAGATTTGACCTTCCATATAATAAATAACCCGCTGGCAATACTAGACTGCGAGATATTCCACTTGATCTCGATTCCGCTCTTGTAATTATTGGAGCATTTTACTCGGCTGTTTGGTGAACATCATTACCGGTTGACTGATGATAATTAAGACGACAGGGATGTCGCTATAGGGAAGATGGGGGATGTGGGGCTGTGACCCCCGCCCATAAAGCGAATCTGAAAATACAGAGCTTTGTCGGTAAATCGTATTTATTTCATTTATTTTTTCTCCAGGCACTGTGGTATTTGGTAAATGTTTCTAATACTTGAGGTCCCGGGTTTGATTTTCAATCGGCGCTTTGACTGTTCACCCATATGCCCCCTCGACCCGGATGTAGATTGGTAACTCACAATGCTAGGGTTATGATAATTGCTTGGCTTGCAAGTGGAACAGCATTATTCCTTTCGCGAAAATCTTCGATTCAGAACCATAATATATTTTCTAGGAGCATAAACAGAAATGGCATCCATATTTTTTCATGGCCTAATTGCGTTTGATGTTTTGAACTTTAAATAGGAAAATAAACTGTAAAATCCCCAATTTGGCAATAAGCTGATAGATTCATAATTACAGTTTACCGATCAAAATTGGCGAATTTCCATCTTTCGACTACATCTCGCCTATGTATATTTCGTTCAGATACATGACATCATATTGCAACAATATAAGCCTAGCAATAAAAGACAAATACCATGTTTGTCAATTTGAAGAACGATAGGCGATAAATTCAGCACAGAAATAAATTCTTTCCATAATGGGTTGATATTAATGTAGCTACTTTGGGTCAAGAATTCTAAAGATTGTTTAGGGACAAATTTGGCCCGACACTCGTCACCCTTTCATTCAAGATGGTCTGGAGACGCCCATGTAGACATTGAAGAGCGGCAATTTTGATTTTGATTGTCGACAAAATTGGCCTGACACTCGGCACCCCACCCCTCTATTCAAGATGGTCCTGGAGACGCCCATGTAGACATTGAAGAGTGGTAATTCGACATCATCGAGTACAGGGTAATCAATGAGAGACGCATTATATCTTTTGGGTCAAGGATTCTAATTCGCCCCGAACGCTCTCTGATTATTAGAGTTGGCAACGTTATGTCTGCATTTTAAGAGTATTCTTTTACACGTTTGTTTGACAAAGATCAATGGTGATAATGAAAACCAGTGTATTACAAGCTCATGAAAGGGAATAACACAATCAGCGTTCAATAAGTGTTTGGTTAATCTGTTGAAATTCCAGATCTGATTATTAGAGTTGGCAACGCAAGCGCGTAGCCAGGATTTCATTTTAGGGGGGGGGGGGGCGGAATTGAGCACGCAAAGCGTGCGAATCACTTAAAGAGCGCGCGTAGCGCGCTGCCTAGGGGGTGGGTGCAGGGAGGCCTCCCGCGCGAAGCGCTGAAGCTTTGAAAGAACACGATTTGTTGTACCTTTCTCGACTCATTATCCCTGTCTGAATTCAGTCCGCCCCTCCTGTGCATAGCACGGAAGCCTTGACGTATTATTAGACAAAGAAGACGATTCGTTGTATCTTTCCCGACCCTTAATCCTTATCTGCATGTATTTAGTCCGCCCCTCCTGCGCATAGCACGGAAGCCTTGACGTATTATTTGACAAAGAAGACGATTCGTTGT